TCTGGGTTTGTGTAAGTACGGTCTGAAGTTCACACAATGAAGCGATGGCCTAATAACACATTTCTCAGAGCATATTCTGTCTTAGTGATGCATTGCTGTATTTCTTTGTATGCGTATACCACATGTTGTTAATCTGTTCACCAGTCAGTGGATACTTGCATTCTCACTTTTTGCCTGTTATGAATAATGCTATTATGAACATTTGTGTACAGGTTTTTGTATGGACATGTTTTCATTTTTCTTGGAGTTATAACTAGGATTGACATTGCTAGATTATATGGTAACTCTATGTTTAATCATTTGAGGAACAGGCAGCTTATTTTCCAAAGGGCTGCATCATTTTACTACATTCCCATCAGCAATGTACGAAGGTTCCCATTTCTCCACATTTTCACCAACACTCATTATCTGTACGTGTGCGTGTGTATTTTAGGAGACAGGGTCTCACTCTGTCACCTACACTGGAGTGCAGTGGTGTGATCATAGGTCACTGTAATTTTGAACTCCTGGGTTCAAGCGGTCTTTCCGCCTTAGCCTCTCAAGTAGTTGGGACTACAGAGGAGCACCACTGTGCCCAGCTAATTTTTAAAATTTTTTTGTAGGGACAGGATCTCGCTATGTCGCCCAAGCTGGGCTCAAACTCCTGGCCTTAAAGTGATCTTCCCATATTGGCCTCCCAAAGTGCTGGGATTACAGGTGTGAGCAACTGCACCTGGCCTGCCTGTCTTTTTGATGATAGCCATCCTACTGGGTGTGAAGTAGTATCTCATTGTGTTTTTTCCAATACTGGTAAACTATGCATAAAATAAAATTGACCACTGTAACCATTTTTAACTGGCACAGAGTACATTTACACTGTTGTGTGTCATCACCACTATCCATCTCTAGAATGTTTCTGTTTTCTCATACTAAAACTCTATACCCATTAAGCAATAGCTCCCTATTCCTCCGTCATGGTTCTGATTTGCATTTCCTGGTTGGCTAATGATGTTGAGCATCTTTTCATATGTTTATTGGCCATAAGTATATTTTGCTTGGAAAAGTGTCTGTTCAGATTATTTTCCCATTTTTAATTGGGTTGTCTTTTTATTACTGAGTTGTAGAAGTTCTTTATAAATTCTAGATATAAGTTCCTTACCAGATATGTGATTTATAAAAGTTTTCTCTCATTTTCTGTGTTGTCCTGTTACTTTGTTGATGTTATCCTTTGAAGTATGAAATGGTTTGAATTTTGATGATATCCAATTTATTTTTTCGTTTGTTGTTTTTGTTGTTTGTGCTTTGGCATTACATCTAAGAAATCAGTGTCTAATCTAAGGTTCATGTAGATTTATGACTGTGTTTTCTTCTAAGAGTTTTATAGTTTTAGCTTACCCTCAACTTTTTAACAGATTGCTTCCTCTGCATGTTCTGACTTTTCCCTAGAAATATGGCTTCTTATTCAGTCCATGTGCTATAAGAATAGATGCAGTGCTTTTGAGCTTTTATATTTTTAACTGCATAGGAAAATATTTTTCTTTCTGGTTTCATCATTGAATTATCTTATATTTTATTCATTTTATTGTCTGTCTTCTATCCTTAATTGATATCTTGGTTATTCACCCACATCCAGTAGGAAAATTGACCAACTCTTTCTTATCTTATTCATGTCTGTATTATCTTTGGCAATCTGAGTGTCTGGATATAACGTCTTGGCAACATTGTCACCTCTCACTTCATCATACATCAGTTCCAGTGGTCATCACCTACATCTTGTTTCAGCAACCTATTCCCGTTGCCAGATATTGGACCTTACTATTCTTCAGAAATATGAAATGCCTGTGTCTGTACTCTGGTTATAACTTTCTGTCCTTTTTCTTTTCTCCTTCCTTTTTTTTTCATTTTTCTCTTTCTCCAACACCCAGCCACTTCATTTCTTCTTTTCTGGCCCTACTTCTTTCCCTGTCTAACCTATTTGCCAAACTTCCTCTCATCTAAAATACATAGTTAACTTTCCTTGTTCCATTTTCTTTCTAGTCCATTCCACAAATCTGTTAGTGTTGTTTCATCAGTCTTCAACCATCCTGGTATAATTTAGATGGTTAATAATTGATGAGTGAATAAATGGTGGTATTAACAAACCTTGGGTCAATCTGTTTGTCTCTTTGGCTCCTACTGTAGAACTGCTGGGACTTGGAGTTATTGTTGTAAATTCATGGTCTCAGATTTCATCTGGTATCCCAGTATTGTCTGGTGAATTTTGTGTGTTCCTAGTCATCACTGTCTCTTGTTGTCTGTAATAGGTATTTGTAAACATTCATTCTGTTATTATTTTACGATATGCTTTCTACCTCTTAGCAGATGAACTTCCCGCTTACTTCACTGAGAAGAATTGAGGGCAACAAGTGGAAATCTGCTTAGCTCCTCCCTGACCTCTACAAGAGTACTAGCATCTTTTCCCATGCTTTACCCCTAACCTCTTCTTTCAGGAGACGAAGATGTGGCCCTTTTCTCACTCTGACTTATCCTCTATTCATGTTTTAGATTTTGCTCGGTCTACTTCCTGATCTCTACTTCCTGAAGATCATTGCTCCATCACTTGTTTTTCAGTCTACAACTCCTTTGCCTACTGCCTTTCTCTGCTCAAACTGAAAAAAAAAAAAAAAAAAAGAAATAGTTACTTGTACTAACCTAATACAAAACATAATATATTCAATATTCTCTAGCCATCAAGAGTCTTTCTTTTCCTTCCCTTTCTACCCAGCTTTTTACTAAGAGTAGTCAAATTAACTCTATTTTCTTATGTATAATTCATTACTACTGAACTCACTGCTTTCCCTAAGTTTGATTCCCGTATTGTTAAATCAAACATATTCATTTTAGTATGTATACTTATGTCTCTGTAGTGTTTGACACTGTTGGTCACTTCCTCCTCTTTGAAATCTTTCTTCTGCTGGCTTCTTCAATCACATTCTCTATGGAAGCCAACGGGGCTCTCATAATAAAACCAGGGCCTAATGGTTCCATTGTTTCCTGATAGATGCATCTCCAGTTAGGTAGGTTTGTTGGGGGCTGAAAACCTAATGTTGTCTGAGATTTACATGCCTTTGGCAGTTTCTTAGTAATTATTGTTGCTGCTGCCATCACATTGGGCTAAGTGATCAGAGGTAGAATGGAGTTCAGGTCTGCTCTCACAAGCCTTTCCTCATTTTCTGTAAGATGCTGAGACCAAAGGAATGTTTTTAAGAGAATTACCTTTTCTCTTCTCTTCTCTTCTCTTCTCTTCTCTTCTCTTCTCTTCTCTTCTCTTCTCTTCTCTTCTCTTCTCTGTCTTCTCTTGTCTTTTCTTTCTTCTTCTTTTTTTTCTCACTGTGTTGCCCAGGCTTGAGTGCAGTGGCGTGATCTCAGCTCACTACAACTTCCACCTCCTGTGTTCAAGTTATTCTCCTGCTTCAGCCTCTTGAGTAGCTGGGAGTAAGGCATGCACCACTACACCTGGCTAATTTTTATATTTTTAATAGAGATAGGGTTTCACCATGTTGGCAAGGCTGGTCTCGAACTCCTGACCTCAAGTGATCTGCCCCCCCGCCCAGGCCTCCCAAAGTGCTGGAATTATAGGCATGAACCACTGTGGCCAGCCAGCCATTACATTTTTAATAAAGTTTTTAAAACAGGTTCCTCTTGTCTCAGTTGAGTTCACTGCAGCATTGTACAATCATGAAAGAATAGAAATTCTTTCATCAATAGAGGTATGGATGCATTCATCACATCATGGTGCAACCATTCAGAGAGATAGTAGGCAGCTAGTAAAGGGAATGAAATAGACCTATAGACTGACAATATATAGTAAAAACATCAAGGCAGAGGTGTATTTTATACATACATATAGCCCCCACCAAAGACCTCGGGACCTCACTGTGTTGCCCCAGCTGGTCTTGGTCTATTTTGTATATCTATTTTATATATTTGTTTACACACACACACAAACACACACACTATCATTTGTAAAAAAAAAAAAAGGATAAAACTCTAGACCAACCCTGTATGTAAATGTTTGATGCCAGAAAATTTCATGGTATCTGCTCATTACACTATTATTAGTGGTTTCATCTGAGGAGTGGAAATACAGGATGAAAGATGTTATGATTTCCCTTAACTAACTTCCATGTTATATTCTATTTTGTTTGACTTTTTTTGTGATATTTCTTCTGTAATAAAACAATGGTAATTTAAGGACTTTTAAAGAAGAATCAACTTTGACTTATTCTTTTTTTAGCTTTGTGAATCATAATATTACTTTTCTTTTTTCATTTTCCTTTTAAACTCTAGCCGTGCTCTCTCATTCTCAGTAGGCTTCTCCAATCATAATCCTGTTTAATCATAACCCCAGGAGTCACCCTTGGTTCTCTAGGAAGCATTCCTGGATCACTTGGTCTGATTTTATTACCTTTCCTCTGTTTTCCCATGGGAAATCTTCCTTAGTCTCTGGTGTATAGAACAGTAGCTGTATTATTTGACTTTGCATTTCATGGACCTGAGTACAGTACCCAGCACATTGTAGAAATTCATTAAAAGGGTTTTGAGTATTAAAATAATAAAGATAGAATCTGGGACAGATCTCCTTAATACTAGCCTGCTCTTTCTGTGTAGGTTGTTATTTTACGCCATTTTTTTCTTGAAGCTTTGTGTGAGAAGACATGTGTTAATTAAACTGAAGTTGCTGTCTCAGGATGTGTTGAGTATGTGTCGATAGGCTATCCTAAAACAACTCCAGGCAGTTTATTTAAATGCAATGTGATTTCTTCAGTTATCATTGGAGGACAGGAGGGTGATAATTTCATACTTCACTGTAACACAAATTATTAATATAAAATATTTTTTATGTCTCCAAATACATTAAAGGAAACCTGCATCAATGTGCTTAGAAAATGTGTTATATTGACTCAACCATAAGGATGAACACAAATTTTGCTTCTCCGTGTAAATTACTTGTCTAATCGTTTGTTTTTTTTTTCTTTTAGGTTCAACAGATAGACCGTGTGGTAGAAGTTGTGGAGGAAACAATTAAAGGTAATCGTTGAAAGTGAGATAAACAGATGTATATATTTTCTGAACTACATAATAGAAACACCACTCGGTTAACTCTTGCCAGGCATCTTTATAAAAGTTATTGCTTTAGATATAAAATCATAAATGTTATCCATGGCTTCATGAATTTGCCAATCTAATATTGGAGGTAGGCACTCCACTGTGTATTTGTTTGGCTTATAAATGAATCAGGCCAAGAGCAATGGCTCACTCCTGTAACCCCAGCAATGGGGGCTGGGGCTGAGGCTGGAGGATTCCTGAGGCCAGGAGTTTACGATCAGTCTGGGCAAGAGAGTGAGATCCTGTGATCTCTGGGGGAGAAAGTCAGCTGGATGCTGTGGTGTACAGCTGTAGTCCCAGCTACTTACGAGGTTGAAGCAGGAGGATCACTTGGGCCCAGGAGTTCAAGTCTGCAGTGAGCTATAATTGTGTAACTGCACTCTAGCCTGAGCGACACAGTGACATCCTGACTTTAAAGAATAAATGAATCAGGTAATAGTTTGTTTTTTTTTTTTTTAAATGTTATTTTATTTTTGTGTAAAATGAATTTAGTTTGAATTTCAGATTGAAAGAATTTAAACAGTTTTAAGATAAAGAAATTGGCTGGTCACAGTGGCTCATGCCTGTAATCCCAGCACTTTGGGACACTGGGGTGGCCAGATTGCTTGAGCCCAGGAGTTCGAGACCAGCTTGGGCAACATGGCGAAACTTCATCTCTATAAAAAATAGAAAAATTAGCTGGGTGTGGTGGGGTGCTCATGTAGACCCATCTACTCAGGGGACTCAGGTGGGAGGATTGCTTGAGCCTGGGAGGTTGAGGGTACAGTGATCAGTGATTGTACCACTGCATTCCAGCCCAGTTGACAGAGCGAGACCCTGTCTCGAAATAAATAAATAAATAATAAGGAATTTTTTATTTGTACATTTTCATATCAAATAATTGTTTTATAAATACTTTTAACAGTAATAATTTTGATACTTCTTCAAGGTATAATTTTTTATAGTTACACTAAAAATTACGCAAAGAGTGTAGAATTAAGTTTTGGTTATTTTGTTAGCTGACACTCACTGACATAGATTCTTATTGAAGTCACTGTGAAATAAACCATCTTTTACTCTGTGATATAATTTTAAATTTTTTAAAGCTTTTTCCTATGTTAGATTAGCACAAATGAAAACCAATAATATGATACTGAAATATTAAGTGAATTGAAAGTCTCAGTTAAATACTGTTTTGTTATAAATGAGAAATTTATGTATTTTAAAAAACCAGATAGTCTCCACCTGCCGAACTGGAAATTTTAATGCTGCACTTTTCCTTCTGGGTGGTGTCTACTACTTTCCACGTGCTTCTCTTCATTAATTTTGAATCATTGCTTTATCAGAGATTATCACAATCAATTTCTAATAAATGAGATTATGAGAATATGAGAATGAGACTATACCTTAATCTCTTTTATTATTTTTAAATTTTAAAAAATTATTTATTTTATAAATAGAGATGAGATTTTGCCATGTTGCTTAGGCTGATCTCGAACTCCTGGGCTCAAACAATCCACCCACCTTGGCCTCCCAAAGTGCTGGGATTACAGGCATGAGCTGCCACGCTTGGCCCGTAGTCTTCTTTTGAAGTTCCAAAATAAAATGAAGTATCAGGATTAAAAATTTATAGCAATGATAATTTGAATGTTTTTACAAACTACTTCAGCTCCATCTTGGAGAATCCAGAAGTACTAGCATTTGTTGTGTACTTACAGTGTGACAGCTACTGTGTTAAACACTTCCCATGGGTTAAGTCGTTTAACCTTCATAATAGTACTGTGAAGTGAAGTGGGCATAAATATTTTCCTCATTTTGCAGAGGAAAAAGTTGAGACATAAGTACATACAGCTAGTCAGTGGCAGCATTGGGATTTGAATCCAGGCAGTCTGACTCCAAAGCCTGTATGTTCTACTGTGATTTACACGATACTGTTATTTCTCTGCTCTCTCTCAGTTGAGATTCACTACCTTAAAGGTTATTTGATTGAGCGTCTTAAGCAGTGATTTAAGATACTTGAGGGCATTGTTGCCTTATTCATCCTTTGTCTTAAGCACCAGGTAAAAAATGAATGATGATGAAGAACATAGGAGAAAATCTAGGTGATCTTGGTATGGTGTGATTTTTTAGATACAACATCAAAAGTATGATTTATGAAAGAAATAATTGCCAAGTTGGATGTCATTAAGTTGAAAAAATTTTGCTCTATAAAAGACACTGTCAAGAGGATGGGAAGATAAGTCACAGAGTGGGAGAAAATATTTGCAAAATACACATCTGATAAAGGACTATTATCCAAAATATATGAAGACCTCTTAAAACTCAATAATAAGAAAAGGAACAACCCAGTTAAAAAATGGGCAAAAGACTTGAACAGACAATTTACCAAAGAAGATATGCAAATGTCAAATTAGTGTATAAAAAGATGTTCAGCATCATATGTCTGTCATTAGTGAATTACAAATTGAAGCAGCAATGCAATATAGTGGTATGTTAAAACTATATACCTGGTGCAATGGTCAAAATCCAAAACATTGACAACACCAAATTCTGGCAAGGATGTGGAGCAACAGGAAGTCTCGTTTATTGCTGATGGTAATGCAAAATGGTACAGGTACTTTGAAAGACAGTTTGGCAGTTTCTTAAAACTAAACACAGTCTTACATCCAGCAGGTGTGCTACTTGATATTTATCCAAATGAGTTGAAAACTTACGTCTATACAAAAACTTGTACACAGTGTTTATAGTAGCTTTATTCATAATTGCTAAAACTTAGAAGCAAAAAAATGGCCCTTTAGTAAGTGAATAAAGAAACTGGAACCAAAACAGCATGGTACTGGTACCAAAACAGAGATATAGACCAATGGAACAGAATAGAGTCCTCAGAAATAATACCACACATCTACAGCCATCTGATCTTTGACAAACCTGAGAGAAACAAGAAATGGGGAAAGGATTCCCTATTTAATAAATGGTGCTGGGAAAATTGGCTAGCCATAAGTAGAAAGCTGAAACTGGATCCTTTCCTTACTCCTTATACGAAAATTAATTCAAGATGGATTAGAGACTTAAATGTTAGACCTAATACCATAAAAATCCTAGAGGAAAACCTAGGTAGTACCATTCAGGACATAGGCATGGGCAAAGACTTCATGTCTAAAACACCAAAAGCAACGGCAGCAAAAGCCAAAATTGACAAATGGGATCTCATTAAACTAAAGAGCTTCTGCCCAGCAAAAGAAACTACCATCAGAGTGAACAGGCAACCTACAGAATGGGAGAAAATTTTTGCAATCTACTCATCTGACAAAGGGCTAATATCCAGAACCTACAAAGAACTCAAACAAATTTACAAGAAAAAAACAAACAACCCCATCCAAAAGTGGGCAAAGGATATGAACAGACATTTCTCAAAAGAAGACATTCATACAGCCAACAGACACATGAAAAAATGCTCATCATCACTGGCCATCAGAGAAATGCAAATCAAAACCACAATGAGATACCATCTCACACCAGTTAGAATGGCGATCATTCAAAAGTCAGGAAACAACAGGTGCTGGAGAGGATGTGGAGAAATAGGAACACTTTTACACTGTTGGTGGGAGTGTAAACTAGTTCAACCATTATGGAAAACAGTATGGCGATTCCTCAAGGATCTAGAACTAGATGTACCATATGACCCAGCCATCCCATTACTGGGTATATACCCAAAGGATTATAAATTATGCTGCTATAAAGACACATGCACACGTATGTTTATTGCAGCACTATTCACAATAGCAAAGACTTGGAATCAACCCAAATGTCCATCAGTGACAGATTGGATTAAGAAAATGTGGCACATATACACCATGGAATACTATGCAGCCATAAAAAAGGATGAGTTTGTGTCCTTTGTAGGGACATGGATGCAGCTGGAAACCATCATTCTCAGCAAACTATCACAAGAACAGAAAACCAAACACCGCATGTTCTCACTCATAGGCGGGAACTGAACAATGAGATCACTTGGACTCGGGAAGGGGAACATCACACACCGGAGCCTATCATGGGGAGGGGGGAGGGGGGAGGGATTGCATTGGGAGTTATACCTGATGTAAATGACGAGTTGATGGGTGCAGCACACCAACATGGCACAAGTATACATATGTAGCAAACCTGCACGTTGTGCACATGTACCCTACAACTTGAAGTTTAATAATAATAAATAAATAAAAAAAAAAAAAGAAACTGGTACATGCAGATAATGGAATATTATTTGACACTAAAAGAAATGAGCAAAAAAGCCATGAAAAGATATAGAGGGACTTTAAATGCATACTATGATGTGAAAGACATCCATCTGTAAGGCTGCATACTGTATGAGTCCAACTAATCGGACATTGTGGAAAAGGTGAAATATGGAAGGAGTGAAAGGATCAGTTGGTGCCAGTGATTAGAGAGTAGGGAGGGATGTGTAGGCAGAAAATAGAAGATATTTATGACAGTAATTCTATTCTGTATGATACTGTAATGGTGGACAATTGTCATTATACTTTTGTTCACATCCTTAGAATGAACAACACCAAGAGTGAACCCTAATGTAAACTGTGGACTCTTGATGAAAATGATGTGTCAGTGTAGGTTCATTGATTGTAACAAACGTACCACTCTGGTGTGGGTTGTTGATAGTTGGAGAGGCTATGTGTGGAGTGGGGGCAGTGATGTATGAAAACTCTGTACTGCTGAGTTTTTTTTTGAATCTAAAACTACTCTAAAAAAATAAGATCTATTTTAGGAAATTAATGATAGTTAACAGTGTGCTTAGGAGTTTGCCAAATGGCTTGGAGAGATGTAATTTCTATAGGAAATCATACAAGACCTGTTACTCCCAGGCTGAGTTAATCAGGGATAGCTTCTTACTGATGAGTGTGAACTTGAGTGGATTTACTGGAGAGATT